GAGTTCACCACGATGGTTTTGGCACACTCCGCGCTGGTGATGGGCGCGGGATTCATCTCGTCGTCGGAGATTTCCATGTCCTCCCCTGAAGAATGCTGACCCTGCGGCAAAAGAGAGAGGGAAAGGTGAGGAGTACAGTCCTTGCACACTGAACACCGTCACGCTGGCTGCTTCAAACCAAAGCTAAGTTTAACACGTTTTAATGGGGAGCGGAGAAAAGCGCATGATGCTCTGAACAGACAGGGCCCGTGGAGCAGCTGGTGCCTATTGAAGCTATTCTGGGCCCTGCCAGCCCTGAGGAAGCAGCGAGGTAAAAGCCTTCGAGAAGCACATCGGTACCGACAGAACAAACCCTCTGCTGCCATGGAACAGAAGCAACTCCAGAAGGGCGCCCAAGCCAAACGTCTCGCGCTGCAAGACACCTTATCTCTTATTTATATCTAATACTGACAGGTGCATTACCCCACAGGGGGTTATTCTTTAGTTTTCACCACGCACAAAGAAACAATTCCTATCTTTTATATATTTTTTAATTACAATCCCTGGCTCACTTGCTGTCAACATTTAACCTCTGCTTGTGGGCAGACACAACACTTCGCAGTATTGTCTGCTGCTCCTCCAACTTGTCTAGACTAGGCCAAAGCAATTCACGCTGGGGAAAAAAAAAAAGGTGGCACTGAATCTGCTTAAATTGCCTTTATTCTTCACAGGTTCTCTCTTTCATAAATGCTGTGATTCAAAGACACTTCCCACGTGTGGGGGACGCAGCGATGGCCCCGCTTCGTCCAGAGCTCCTGCTCCCTCTGCCCCAGCCCTGCCGAGCGGGCAGTCCTCAGAATCAAGTGCTATTTCTAGGTGCCTGTCTCAATCCCAGCTGCAGCGTTGGAATCTGCCGTCCCATTTCCACAAAATCTGACTGAAGGTCTCCTGGATGTTTAGTTTTCCCATGTTCGAGATCAGCACATGTCCCTTCCACCTGCTCTCTTCCTGGTCTTCCTGACCTAAGAGGGCAGCAGAGCTCAGCCTGCACCATCCCCGGAGAACCTGCACAGGCTCCTTCCTGAAGCTGCTGCGACTTGATTCTGAACCTGGGAATTAACTCAGCCCGTTGGGTAACAGAAGAAGCGGGAGCAGGCGAGCGATGGCACCGCTGGGCACCGCGGCTGCACCAAGAGCAGCCACCACGAGCAGCCCCGGGAGCGGGCTGAGCGCCACGGCGAGCAAGGAGGGCGATGGTGAACGGGGCGCGCGGCTCGAGAACAGGCTGCACACAAGGGCGAGCGGGTGCACGGGGCTCGAGAGAGGGCTGAGCGTCACGACGAGCGGGGAATGCGACGGCGAACGCGGTGGGGGGGACAGGGAGAGGGCGCCCGTCCCCGTGCCTCCCTCCTCCGGCTTCCCTGCCTGCCCCCGTCGCAGCCCCGGCCTGTGTGCGCCTCAAACACCCCAAAAAACCAATTGCCACCTCTTCTGATGACACTTTATAAGCACCAAAATGAAGAGGTGGAAAAAGGTGAAGTACGAATTGTGACCCACTGAACTCAAGGCTTTTCAGAGCTGTGTTTCATCCTTCCCCCCCATGGACTCTCCACCGAACGGCTTCGTCCGGCCTCAGGAGATCGGCTCTGCCCGGAGCTCCCACTCGGACCGGCCCTCAGAGGGTGTCTTTAGGTGCAGTCTCAGTACCAGCAATCCTGCCTTGTGAACGAGGTTGGTTTTCCCTCTTCAG